ATAAAAGATGCAAGAAATTTAAAAAAGAAGGGGAAGCTTGGGGTTTTAAGGGCTTAAGAAATGCAGCAGCTCAAATGAGGAATTCCTATCCCTATTTATAAGAATACTGGCACCCTGATCAAGAAAGCCAAATGCCGCCACATTGATTTCGAAACAGAAGAGGCGCGGGAAACGACGTACGAATTGGGAACATGCGCCATAATGACGCATGATGAAATGACGTCATTTCATACTGACGTAATGGTCAGATGTGGCTCTTGAAGCGCCACATCATCACCTCGCCATAAAAGGGTCACTCCTCGGGCAACATGCTCAAATTTCCCAAATTGCAACTGGCGGAGTTCGCCTATAGAGCTCGTCCAAAGACAACCCCGACGGGCGAAGGGACTAATTGTATGGGCCAAATCTAATCAAAGGAATCTTGTCTAAGAGAGGATAACTAAGAGCTGATTAGGTCGAGGTCATGCTTAAGAAGTAACATGTTGGCGAGCTGAGCAGTTAGGGTCAAGATCGAGCACTCAGATCGGCCCAAACGGCTAGTTTCGTAATAAGATATTTTAAAGGAATATTCTGCAGAGTATTCTCTGCACTTGTACTTTCAGTTAGGTAAGGGATATGTCCCATATAAGTAGGAATAGAAAGAGAAGAGAAAGACATGTAATATTCTATATGATAAGCTCTCTCTTGAAAAGTTGACTCTCAAGTAAATTACAAACATTGCCTTTACAAAAAGATTCGGTTTGTTGTTGGTCCTAAGCTTTCTCACATTAGATCCGTGAGAACTTTCTATATTCTCACGTTTGTTTGTCTTACATCATTTTCAGAGAGATAATTATCCACCTCATTGAATATCTGGGTGAATCATTTTCTCTATTTATATTTATTGCTTGCCATTACTCCCTCATATATTCATAACAATACTATTAAACATCTCTTTGGTATTAAACAACCTTGAATACAATTTTAAGTTATTGATATTAATTAATCTCAGATCTAGAATTTATTATATTTAACTAGGATTTACCGATCATCATTTTATTTAATTAGTTTAACAAAAAGGCTTAGCACTTTTTGGTCAAACAACATTCATATTTTGTATATAAATAGCACATGAAGTTCTGCATAGGAATATTGTTTATACTTTTTTTTTTTAAAAAAAAACCCAAACATTAGAGTGAATAAAGCTAAATTTTATGTGAAAAAAATCAAATCAAACGTTATTTAAAACACATTGAATTTTATGGTTTTTGCGAAAATGTTAAATTTTATGTGATGATTATTTTCTTGGCTAGTCAAATTAAACGTCACCTCACCTTGCAGTTGCTTGTCAAAAGATACTCTAATATTATATTGTCCCAAAGATAAAACCGATCGTTTCGCCGCACCACTGTACCCTTCGGCCCTTGGGTAGGCCGAATAGATGGGCCGTGGGCTTGGAGAGGCGAATCCACTGTGGTTCCCAATTATTGCAAACAAATGTGTTCAACTTTTTTGTTTCTTTCTATTTTGTCCAATCCAATAGATTAGTCAAAATTCGGATGTAGATTCATCAATTTTGTGTTGAATAATATACTTGAAGCTTTATCAACTCTAAGTTTCCTATATCAACAAATGTTTGTACTGGTAGAAAGTAATATGTAGTTCGTAAAATTAGTTGAGGTGTGAGCAAAGTGACTAGAATACCAATAATTGTCAAAAAGATTCTCATTTTTTCCCTCGTAATTTTCTTTCATTGATCAAATCACATCAGGCCTAGTTAAGATACCTTTACAAAACACCTTGACGTGATATGGAGTTCTTTTTTAGTATAATGTTTACGTAATTGATCTACCTCTGGTGTAAAGAGAGACGTATTATTGGCAACAAGTACACGCGTACATCTCAGTATCGACTCAGATCCAGTACAGGCACGTATGCTTTTGGATTTCATGAGAGAAAACCAAAAATATCCAAGCTTAAACTACTGGCAAAAAAAGGTCCAAATCCAACGATATCTCACTATCCAATAATCTTGGAGTCCGGAACTCAATTGTGGTTCTTTTGAATTCAAAATACATAAATAGATAAATAGGTGGGAAAAAAAAGATGACATTTTTATATATAGTGCCAAAATACTTGGCGTTATACATTAACGTTAACTGTGCCGTTAATGTATAGCGCCAAGTATTTTGGCACTATACTGAAAAAGCTGACACGCCCAGGTATAGCGCCAAAATACCCGGTGCTATACCCCTTTTTAAAAATCGAACCGTCTTCTTCATCAACGTTCTGGTTCTTCTTCCTCAATATTTTACTCCTTCTTCTTGTTGGTCCCCCACTCCCATACCCGCTGCCCCACTATTTAAAAAAAAATAAAAAATTCAGGGTTCCCCCTTCACATAAAAGGTGAAGAACGTAGGTCCCACATTCGAGTAGAGCTTCGTATTATTGTTGATTCACACTTCCGGAGTCAAAATTTTAATCTATTTGCTTTCCGAAAATTCTAAATCGAGGTATTTCGGTTTATTTTAAGTTGAAACTTTTATAATAATGCATATTATTTGATTTGTATGTGTTCTATTTCGGTTTGTGTTTTTTTTTACGAAACTAGCATGTTAAATTTATCCGGATTTAATATAGTGTTTTAAAAAATTTAAATTTGTCAAATAAATTTGTCTGTTAATATCCTGATTTATATATATGTGTTTTCATGCCGTTTTGTCTTTTATTTGCAATTAAATTTATTTGTTGTTTATGTTTAGTTTAGATTATTTTTTAGCGTAGTAAAATCTAGACCTTTTTAGCGTAGTAAAACGTATACCCTTTTAGCATAGTAAATTTTAGAGCCTTGTAGCGTAGTAATGTGTAGTATTTTAGCTTAGAATTCCTTTTGTTTAAGTATGTTATACTGGTAGTTGAAAATGCAAACTTTGTACAATTAAGTTAATAATTGTATCAACACACATAATTAGTAATTTGTACANTCTTCTTATTTTTTATTACTTAATCAAGATTACTTAATAGTATATCTTTTACCTCAATTTTCATTTGATTTAATATAAATATGAATACAAATAATATTTATTTTTTCACTCAATTAAGGGCATCTGTCTCCCAAGGTGAAACCAGGCACAAGTGTAGCGCCATATGCTGCAAAAATTAAATGCAAAAGGGGTACTTCAATAGTAATATAAATGTTCTGGCACATTTAATACCATTTTTAAAAAATAATATAGCCACACAAATATTATGGCTTATTAAGGACCACAAATCTTTAAAATCTTCATTTCTTTCTTAAATTTCATACTCAGTCAAATATGTTATAACATAAATTGGAATAAAAGGAGTATCTATTTTTTAAGTATAATTTAATATTAATAATTTTATTTTAATATATTTAGTTACGAATATAATTACCAATCCGGTACATGAAAATATTATTCAAATTAATATTTGTATAGAATTTTGTAACATAAAAAATGTATCGCATTGTACATGAAATATTATTCAAATTAATATTTGTATATAATTTTTTAATGTAAAATGTGTGTCTCATTAACGTCATATTACATGAGTGCTTATTGTTATTTTTTTTTCCTTTTTACTACTAAGAACACTTTGTTGTATCAAAAGACATAACATTAGTAGCTCGTGGATGTAAATAATTTGAAAATTGTGTCGATACATTGTATCCTTTTTTGTAAATTAGTTACAAAAGTAAATAACATGTCCTTGTGTATACGAGTACCACACTATAGTGGTACCTCGTAATCTGCGTCAAATGAGTGTGCTATCTAAAAGGGTAATAGACGCCAGGTATTGGTGTTATACCGTGGGTCGTGTCGTGTCTTTTCTTAGTATTAGTGGGTACACTAAATACTTGTCGGTCTACGTAACTACTAAACGTAACACAGTTAAACGTTAAATAATATAAGACGTTCAAGTATTAGTGGTNACTATATAAATAAAAATAAGTCTATACTTTTTTTTCTTTACCCTAATTTATTTAATTTTTNNAGTATAGTGCCAAAATACTTGGCGCTATACATTAACGGCACAATTAACGTTAATGTATAGCGCGAAGTATTTTGGCACTCTATATAAAAATGTTATCTTTTTTTTCCCACCTATTTATGTATTTTGAGTCCAAAAGAACCACATTTTAGTTCCGAATATACATTATAATTGACTGGACTTGAAATGAACATAGAATACCCAAATTCAATGACCTAGAAAGTATCTTTCCTACGTTTTACTCTGACAAAAAAGAAGAAGGAAAAAAACAGAAACAAGGATTTTAACTTTTAGTGTAAATAACTTTTATACTATGAGTAGTTCTCCCTTTTGCATTCCGTGTAATTCGTGGTAATATATTTGGCATTAGAAGTTATGCATAACTTCCCTAAATATTTGTCATGCTACAAAGCTATACATGGAGAATAGAAATTAATATTGAACTTTCCCAGGGGCGGCCAAAAGAAAATTAACACTGTATAATGCATAATCACTAACAAAGCCGTTACAATAGGGGTTTGTTTTGGTATGGAAGAAATTATTTTTTAATTTTCTCATGTTAGGTTGATCAAAATGTTTCAGAATTTTTTTATGATAACAAATTCCTTAAAAACTAGAAAAATAACTTTCCTAGTGTGTGTAGGAAAAACAAATTCTATAGGTGTGGTCATTCCCCTCCGATTATTTCCTCCGCTCCCCAACAACCCACCCCTCACCTCCACCCCTACCCACCCTACCCCACCCCACCCTGCACCCCCTAAGTGTTTGCATATATAATTATTCATTTTTTCCAAAACTTAGCAGGGTAATTTTATTATGGGCAAAACTATTGCTTTGGTTCATTTACAATTGGATTTAACTTATATATACTGACATAGTAAATAACTTTTTATATTACTAGTAAAGTTGTTTGCCTTATTTTCAAGTTGAGAAATTCCACTTATTGTGGGCTGTAACTTGTTAAACTCTGTAGAATTTTGTGAAACTTTATATCATACATTATTGCTACTCGAATCTGAATTGCTTACTTCCTTGACAAAGTTCTTCGAACACAGTGAGATGTCCATTGCCAGGAGTTAGAACTATAGAACAAAGGGCACAGTAAATAATGTTCAAGAAGAAAGAAAAATATTGTCTTAATCCATCAAAAGCTAGCCCTACTTAGCTTCATATAGAAAGAGCAACTTTTCTGGTGGAAGAGTATATTAACTATTCTTTTCCTTCAAACTATAATTTCCACTCTGATCATTACATTCATCTTCATGTTGAGTAATAACAGGAGAGGCATAAGGGTGTTTACTTATAATCCTGAAAATTAAGAATTATATTAATTAGTAGTATTTAAACATACAAGACTGAATGGTTCTATCATATACTTAATACTATTAATCAACAAAATTAATTAAGCATTTTAAAGCTGGAAATTAATTCACCTGTTATGGCGTTTCTCGAAGAATCTCTTCAGGGATTTCCTTCTGGCAATTGGCAGTTCTAAACAACAGAATCCACCAAAAAATTCAGTTAATATGCAAGATGATGACCATAAAACAAAAGCCTGGATTTTTAAGATACAGAGTTAAGATAGCTCACTTAAAAAAATTCTTAGCTTTATTCAGTTAATTACCAGCATTAGTTATAGCATATAACCAGAATGTGATCGGACCGATAAAATTTACCCACTATTAATCAAAGATCTCATGTTCGAGGCCTGAGATTGAAAAAACTCCCGATAGAAAGTGCTTCCTCTTTAATGAGCCTTACGCGACTCGAATTCAAATTAGTCAGACCAGTCAGTCGGTTTTAGATAACAAATGTATAAAAGAAAGTTAATACTTATAACATATAGTAATGTCAAAATCACCAGCTGAATGATCACCTGCTTGGAACTTGCACGCAAATGGAACTTGGGATTTCTGATTTGGTTCAGCTTCTTTGGGGGGAAATTTTACATTAGTAGAACCAGAAAACAATGAACTTTCACGTGCAAAATCCATAATAGACTGTGCCTAAAAGAAAAAAATATCGCACGGTGTCAATGTGCCATTGCAAATTTAGAAAATGTAGATACAAGAAATAATTAGATATGTCAAAAGAAAACTCAAAAAAACATACGACATGTTTTGCAATATCTAATTATATTTGTACCTTTTCAACAGGAAGATTGTCATAAACATGTACAATCCCAGCATAGAATATAGTTAACTGTTCTGATTCAGACTTCTCTCTTTGTAAAACAGGAAGCTGAGTATCATGCCTATATTTGAGAAAATATCAAAGGAATTAAAATGCAAACACAATTACTAGATTTGATAATTACCTTCAACTAACTGTTGATTAAATATGTTCACTTACTTGATTCCTGGTAAAATTGCCAGCTCTAGAGCAGACATTCTTCTGTGACTACCATTGTTACCTATACCTTTTAAGTTGCTTTCATTAATTTGCTTCTGATAATCGAAGTTTTTATTAAACTTTTCAATCTTCAAGAAATTATTTGCCACTTTGGAGCTGCAATACATTTTCTCAGTCTGTGCAAAATAATACAATAACTTTTGGAACTATGTCAGTATATAACTGTATATTAAGACAAAAATAAGATAAATTAAATACCTGATTGATTAACGTATTGGTCTGTGCCAAAAACCTATTGTATAATTTTAGAATGGATAGAAGTAGTTAAATTGTGCAAGATTAAAATAAAGGGTGTGGGGTTGGAGAAAAGATTGGAAATAACGCTTAAAATGGCCGATTGCCGGTCTGCAGGCATCTCGATGAATTCGTTTTTCACAAGAACCTCCTCGTGAGATAATTGGAAAGTTGGTAGATATTATACATGGTAACTAATAACAATTAGTTAAAAAAATTTCTAGTTCTTGGACATAAAAAATTGTCACGATATGGCCATAGATCTCGACTAGTTAGTCTAGATTCTTCCTCACATAAATAGACAGAAGATATGCGATTATTATTATTATTATTATTATTATTATTATTATTATTATTATTATTATTATTTTTATTATTATTAGTAGAAGTAATAATAGTATATGCTAAAATCAAGTTTTCTATTTATCTTTATTTATATATATGATCTATTTAAGTTTAATTCATTTGAATAAATAAAATACACTATAGTCCACTTGGTTTTTTGTCCGTATAAAAATTAATTTACTTTTAATCATGATTTCTCCTCAC